GCTGCAATCTTGATCCACATGTCCTCCTGTCGCTCCCGCACTTGCCCGGTCTTTGTCCAGTACCTGCTGTGCATTTCCCCTAGCAGGTACAAGATCTGCCACAGGCCGTTCGTTTCGTTCTGCGACACGTAGTATGGATTGCAAAAGTGTCTGCGTCTGGAACAATGCAGGAATTTGTCATGCAGATTTTGCATGACCGATGAGGTCTGTGATGCATGCCCTAGCATCAGAGATTTTGCGAGGGCTTTCATCACATGCTCATACCGCATGAGAAATGCCCTCTCCACGTAGCACAAATTACACCTCTTTTGCTGTTCATGCAATACAGATTTTATGTAGATTCCAAAAGTAGCATCACAAGTTGCATTCTTCCAGACCCAGACACTTTTGCATTTGATGCGTAGCCGCTGTCAACGACACGAAAAACCCGCGCGTCAAGTACCGTTACCAGCAAGAAGTCTAGCGTTTCCTTGGTTTCTTCCGAAAGCAGGTCGAAAGAAACGGCAGTCTGTGGTGCAGCTCGCGAAGAACCAGACTGGCTGCCAGACGAGGTGGACTGCTTGGCCGATGGAAGTGGAGGATTTTTCGCGTCTGAAGATTCAATATTCGACAAAAAAGCCTGGTTGCCGTTCGTTTCTTGCGTCGTCGTCGTCGCGCCAGGTGTTGTTCCTGACGCAGAAGGAGGTCGCGGTTGTGCAACAAGCACCAAATGATAATTACCGGGTAAATCTCTTGACTTCATGTCCTTCAGCAGGCGACCGCTGAAGCGCTTGTGTTCGTACAGGAACTGCTTCAGGACGCGCTCTGCCAGCTCATGCTGCGCATCCCCGAGCAGGTCGTACACATGGGAAATGATTCCTGCAGCGATTTGCTCCGCTACCTCAGACTGGCTTTTGCAGCTGGCCTTCCCATCCGACGGAGCTGCTTCTGCGTCCTCGCCCAGTCGCGTCTCAGTGACCAAGATCGGATGCTCTTGCCAGGCCAGCTTTCTGTTCGCACGCAGGTCTGCTGGTGCTTGTTCGTCAGTATTCGTAACACCCTTCCTCGCCCGGAGGGCGGGCCCAGCTTCCGCCTGTCTGGCGGCTGCGGCGTCGTTTGCGTTCTGCAGTTCCGCCTCGCGACGAGTTTTCTTCAGGTCGAGCTCTTGCCGTTCTAGCTCGCGTTTCCGGACTTGCAACATGGTGAGACGCCACGTCTCCTGACTTACCAAATTTTTGGAGTGCACCGAAACCGGAATGACCTTGTATCCTTCCCGCTTGAAAATGCGGCCTGTGACAGTGCACAACTTGTTCCCCTCCCTTTCATCTGAAAGGCGTGACCAGCAAAAGAAACGCAACCGAATATATTTATAAGCCTGCGCATGTGCATGACAAGTTGCTGCCCGGTACATAAACTGCATCAGCATAATGTGAATCCGCTTCTGGGATTTGTCATGCAGACAGGGCCAAACGGAAACGGCATTTGCATGACAAGTGAGGGGAAACCGGAATTGTGCATTCTCATACGATGGCTGCCGCATGTGTGATCCTTCACCCAGCCTTTCTCTCGCAAAATTTTCTCCAGGTCGACCAGCCTGTACGTAGGGGGAGTGTCGGATTCCTCCTGGCGCGCAACAGCCATCTTGCTCTGCCTTCGATTTATAGATATACGGATGGAAAAAAAGAGGCTGTCGGAACGACTATTGTCGAAAAAACGCGAGAAACATCAAAGCAAAGTGCGAAATCAGGAAAGCTCCATTATTCGATGCACAGAGGTCAACTCTAAAAATCGCTACCACTAGAAGAGAAGTACATAACGTAAGTCTTTAAAACCCGATCATGCTATTGCTTACATATTGAAAGGCCACATCGGGCATCGTTTCGTTTGAAAACGTACATACTGCAAGTACAGAAGTAAAGAATAATCACCACCATGATCCAGCTTGTCTTCTGTCGGTTACGGGAGCTCAAGAGGGTACGAAAATGGAGCCTTGTTGAAATTCTAGCGCACTTTTCAGACGATGGGGTACGCGATTCTGTTCAGCGTCGAACCGTTTCTGATGCGTTTTTGTTCTTCTTTGAATCCTTTTTGATGAAGGGACGATGGGCCGCTATCTATCACACGACCACAGGTATTAAAAGCAGCCGAGCTGAACGAAGGTGACGTCGTGACTAAGTGCGCACGAAGCTTTTCCGAACGACAGATTACTCGCACATCGGGATACGAAGACTACGGCTTTCGGAGCACGATTGCAACACACGAGCTACTTGTTCAGATCTGTACGTATTCCCTGTCGGAGTCCCTTTTTCTACAGAAATAAACCGTGTCACCAACCCTGACAATAAGACTGGGGCTATCTATTCACAATTGTACTGGACGAGGAAGCACAGACAATTTGTTCTACAGCTATTGGATGCAGTGGATCGGTAACTGTACGAAGCGGATCGGTAGCTATTGGCACGAGTATGACTTGCCCCACCTCGAATACGATGAGCCTTCTTTCGTCGAGGAACAGAAAACGATACCGAATCGAAACAACGAACACAAAGCACCAAAAAAAACATCCCCATATCGAAAAGGAAACTTGTGATGCTGGTACGCACTCTCTTCAAGGTTTTTGCGTATTTCGGTCCTGGTAAATGTTTTAACATCCGGGGAAATTACTCGTCGCTACTGCTTCTGCATGTTGCAAGCGGTACGCATTTTCCTTGATCTTTCTTCGTAGTCCGCCCCGGGAGAGAAAGAAATCTTCTGGGCTAATTACTTCCTCTGACTGCTTCCCGCTATCTTGTTCTGGTACGCATTTTCTTCAAGGTTTTTGCGTAGTCCGCTCCTGGTAAAGGTTGCAGCTGCCGGGGAAATTAGTCGTAGCTATTGCTTCTGCATGTTGCAAGCGGTACGCATTTTCCTGGGTCTTTCTTCGTAGTCCGCCCCGGGAGAGAAAGAAATCTTCTGGGCTAATTACTTGCTCTGACTGCTTCCCGCTATCTTGTTCTGGTACGCATTTTCTTCAAGGTTTTTGCGTAGTCCGCTCCTGGTAAAGGTTGCAGCTGCCGGGGAAATTAGTCGTAGCTATTGCTTCTGCATGTTGCAAGCGGTACGCATTTTCCTGGGTCTTTCTTCGTAGTCCGCCCCGGGAGAGAAAGAAATCTTCTGGGCTAATTACTTGCTCTGACTGCTTCCCGCTATCTTGTTCTGGTACGCATTTTCTTCAAGGTTTTTGCGTAGTCCGCTCCTGGTAAAGGTTGCAGCTGCCGGGGAAATTAGTCGTAGCTATTGCTTCTGCATGTTGCAAGCGGTACGCATTTTCCTGGGTCTTTCTTCGTAGTCCGCCCCGGGAGAGAAAGAAATCTTCTGGGCTAATTACTTGCTCTGACTGCTTCCCGCTATCTTGTTCTGGTACGCATTTTCTTCAAGGTTTTTGCGTAGTCCGCTCCTGGTAAAGGTTGCAGCTGCCGGGGAAATTAGTCGTAGCTATTGCTTCTGCATGTTGCAAGCGGTACGCATTTTCCTGGGTCTTTCTTCGTAGTCCGCCCCGGGAGAGAAAGAAATCTTCTGGGCTAATTACTTGCTCTGGCTGCTTCCTGCTGTCTTCTTCTGGTACGCATTTTCTTCAAGGTTTTTGCGTAGTCCGCCCCTGGTAAGTGTTGCAGCTTCCGGGGAAATTACTCGTCGCTACTGCTTCTGCATGTTGCATGTGGTGCGCTTTATTCTTTATCTTCCTTCGCAGTCCGCTCCGGGAGAGAAAGAAGTCTTCTGGGCTAATTACTTGCTTTGACTGCTTCCCGCTATCTTCTTCCGGTACGCATTTTCTTCAAGGTTTTTGCGTAGTCCGCTCCTGGTAAAAGTTGCAGCTGCCGGGCAAATTACTCGTAGCGACTGCTTTTGCATATCGCCTGTGGTGCGCATTATTCTTGACCTTCCTTCGCAGTCCGCTCCGGGAGAGAAAGAAACCTTCTGGGCTAATTACTTGCTCTGACTGGTTCCCGCTATCTTCTTCCGGTACGCATTTTCTTCAAGGTTTTTGCGTAGTCCGCTCCTGGTAAAAGTTGCAGCTGCCGGGCAAATTACTCGTAGGGACTGCTTCTGCATGTTGCCTGTGGTGCGCATTATTCTTGATCTCCCTCCGCAGTCCGCTCCGGGAGAGAAAGAAATCCTCTGGGCTAATTACTTGCTTTGACTGCTTCCCGCTATCTTCTTCCGGTACACATTTTCTTCAAGGTTTCTGCGTAGTCCGTTCCTGGTAAAAGTTGCAGCTGCCGGGCAAATTACTCGTAGCGACTGCTTCTGCATGTTGCATGTGGTGCGCATTATTCTTGATCTTCCTTCGCAGTCCGCTCCGGGAGACAAAGAAATCTTCTGGGCTAATTTATTACTTGCTTTGACTGCTTCCCGCTATCTTGTTCCGGTACGCATTTTCTTCAAACTTTTTGCGTAGTCCGCTCCTGGTAAAGGTTGCAGCTGTCGGGCAAATTACTCGTAGAGACTGCTTCTGCATGTTGGATGTGGTGCGCATTATTCTTGATCTTCCTCCGCAATCCGCCCCGGGAGAGAAAGAAACCCTCTTGGCTAATTACTTGCTTTGACTGCTTCCCGCTATCTTCTCCTGGTGCGCATTTTCTTCAATAATTCGCTCAACATCGCACTGCCCCGCTATCTTTTGCAGGTACGTACTTACCGGTAGCTTCTGGAACTATCAATATGCGGAGAGCCACTTCTCGGACGCAGCAACTAACGTGCCTCACAACTCGGAATTCGTGCGTATCGGTTTCAAATAGAATCACAAGTAAATTCGTTGTACAACACTGATTCTCTTTGACACGCAGCCGTGCTTTAGAAGTGAACAAACGCTTGACGAGGTACTATATTAAGTTCGTTCAACAGATGCCGGCCAACACAGATCTTTCGTGCGCATAAGAGCTTCATCATGCTCGTCGATTGACGAAGGACGAAGAACACGGGACACAGAAGTAAAGGAAATTTCTTCCTTCCAACTGCGGTGGTGTTGGGAGGAAGTCGGCTATCGCTCTATGCATGTTGATGCACGTTCTGTCTCTGTGCAATTTGAATGTGATCAACGTTTGGACGTACACGGAGCACAACATTCATGAACCAACCTTGATTATGTGCAAAGCTCCTAGGACAAGAAGAGCATGGTCAAAACAATCTCCACCATATTCGTTAGATGTGGGCCTTCTGCAGGGCCTGAGAGAAGCTCATCACTTGCAGCTCGAATTTGAATATACCATAGACCACGGCGAGTGGGTACTACTACTCGCGCAAAATAATTTGTAAGTAAAGACTATTTCTTTTCGGACTTTAAACAATACTTAGCATGGCCACGGATGGTCTAAGTGACCAGCAGCAGCTGAGTAGAAACGTCTCGCGTTCGTGAGGACTACTGGATGGAGCACATCATTATCCGAGATTGAAACATGAGTGATTATTATCTTACAGTGGCACTATGGTGGTCCAATAGTTGTGCTGTCAGTGAGCTTTGATCTGTAGTACGAAAAAGGCGCTTTCGTGCTTGTCTTTTCTGGCCCTTTCCTCCCGGACACGCAGGTGGTATCGTACGGAAAAAACATCCTGGTCAAGGTCGGCTAACTAACGGCAGCATCCGTTTTTTTGTTTTATTTTTCTTTCCCAAGCACAGCGATTTTCGTGTGAAGCCCTTAATTATGAACGATGTTGGTACGTTTGTGAGGTCGACGACGCGCCACCAACACACGATAAATGATGCATCGGCTTTTCTCTCTCGACTTGACCATGGATATTTCAATCCTCTTCGCCTTCCTTGTCCGCCTCGCCGCCCACCTCCTCCGGTTCCGTTTTTTCGGAATCCTCCAGTTCCTGCTATCACACGCAAACCTACTCGTGCCGTGCAATCAAATCTTTTGGTCACAGTCACAACAGAAAGCAAAATTTAAATTACGGTCTAGAAATATGAAACAAAATCCTACTGCGGAGTCATTGCAAACTCTCACCTTGTATGGTTGTACTGCATTATTTACGTACGATAGCTCTTCGTGTTCGTCTGCGCCGTCCTCTGGTTTGGCATCCAGCCACCTGCTCACCTCCTTATTTGCCTTCGGAAGAGAATCCAGGAACTACAAAAAAGGGTTTGCTAGCTTCCGAGGATGCAACTATTACTTCCACACGAAAACTGCCTGTCGCGCAACGGCACCTGCGTTTGCCGTTCAAAGCTGAACAAACAGACAAAGACGCAGTTGTTTTACATGCAACTATTGTAGTTCTGCTATGGTATCCATATCCTACCATCAACCTACGAGTACACCCTGGATACACTTGGAAATTCTGCCGTGCAGCGGCTTCTGCTCCGTTCCCTTTTCCCGGACCTTAAGAATTTGAGGCAGATCAAAGTCGTGTAATTGTTGCATGAAAAAGGAAACCATACGAGCCACAATAGCAAAAGGAAATTTTTGATGAGCGCTTTTATGTAATTGCGCTGCTACAGATTCTAGTACGAACGTTGTCGGTGGCGGAGAATGTTGCTACATTGATTGTAACAAGGAAAGGTGCGGAGCACAATTTTTGGTTCTTGTAAAGTGCGCCACGAAACCAGTATCTATCAGAACTTGCTCCAAAGAAACAAAAGCCAGTGAACTTCTATGAGACCCCGTTCTAAATTGCACCCAGGCCACAATTATCAACTGCAAAAATGTCTGGGTCTGGAAGAATTCATGTTTGTCATGCTTGTCTGGCATGGCTCTTTAAATCTGTCATGCACGTTACCCAAGAGCTCCGTTTTTCTGTAATGCAGAAGCGCAGTTTGTCATGCAGAATAGGCAACACCTAGGAGCTCAGAAACTTGTCATGCTGAGCCAGCATTTGTAGCCTCATCATGAGAGGCCACCCAGCATCACAAGTTTCCAGACCCAGACATTTTTACTTTTGATAGCAATCAGTTCTAGTCGAAGAAGACCACGATATGGAAAATATGCAAAGACGACCCTGGATCAATTGCAAACATGTCTGGGTCTGAAAACTTTGATGCTGAATTGCGGATGATTGAAGCCCGTGCCCTGTGAGCCAGGCGTGCCAAGTTTTCGAGACGCCCTCTTATGCCTAGCACGCACTACAAATTGTGTTTTTGCATGACAAAGGAATTTCGGAATTTCTGCTTTGCTGGACATTTCGGTTCCAGGAATACAACAAACGCATTTGCAAATTCCATTCTTCCACCAGACCCAGACATGTGTGCAACGCATACCGTGGATCATCTATCAGGCTGCATCACAGAATGGCATCAGCCACAAGCGAAACTGTGAACTCCTTCGTGCACCCGTTGATACACATGGCACCGGCTCCTACGATGAAAACCGCGATGGCAGCGATTGCGAGGTGGTACGCACTGCACGTGATGTTGGTGTCAGCACCTTTGTTGTAATTTATGTAATTTATTCGTTTTTGCCGAGTTCGCATAAGCACAACGCCTCACGACTTGGCGCCGTAGCCTTGATACCATGTTGAAGACACTACATGTTGTTAGTTTAGAACAGAAGAGGAAAACAGTGATGCGTATTTTTGGTTTTGATTCTGACCTGTTTGTGCTTCCAGGTCGTCGTCCCCGAGTTCCTTGGCCTCGATGCCATGGTTGTCGTTGCTACCCGTGGCGGACTGGTTGCGCTTTTTTGAGATAGCCTTGTCGGTACTACCCTTTGATGTGGATGTCGATTTCTTCATGGAAGTACTCTTCGCACCCCCTGACTGCTCTGAAACCGCTACTATACCGTTCTGGATTTTCGCCGCTGTCGTGGGAGCAGTTACTTGCCTCGCGGCTGCTTTCATCGCAGTTGTGACTTTCGTAGCCGTGTTCTTTATTGCTGCTATTGCCGGGGCAGATATTTTTGTACCGGCTGTTTTCATCGCGGCCGTGACCTTCGTGGCCGTCTTCTTCATAGTTTCTTTTGCGGGGGCAGTTACTTGTTTCGCAGCCTTCTTCACCTCATCCGCCCCGCGTTTGATTGCTTTTGCGAGGGTCTCCTTCGCTGTAGCTGCTTTGACGCCCGGCGACATTTTCATCACGACGGCTTTCATCATTTCTATCCAATGGAAAAATGAAAATCTTGCGGCAAGTGAAAACAAGCATGTCCACATAAAACCCGAAGCAGGCGAATCATGGGTCGGCTGCAGTGTAGTTGGGTGACTAAGCATGCGTATTGGCTAACACGACGTTCGCGAAACAAGTCGGTTTGGTATATCTTTAAGACACGGCAAACAGAGTTTTTTTCATTGGATAACTTTCTTCATGGCTGTTGTAGCTTGTGCTCCTTTTACTTTCATCGGCGTTTTTTTTCCGGCATCGGAGGTTGCGCTGCGGTCTTTCTTCGCGGCACGACGTTCTCTGTCTCGCTTCTGTTCTGCCGTTGGGCGACCTTTGCTTCGCGGCCGACCGGGACCTTTACCGGACCGCGCCATCTTGATCAATGCTACTGTCGGATATGGAGGCTCAGCTCACTATATTAGAACTACTGTGGGCTTGCGTGCGTCCTCTAGTAGAGGTTTAGGTTCTGCTTTTGCACACATGCTCACACACTACTTTTTGTTTCCACTCTCCAAGCAAGTAAGCTTCATCCCTCCCGTTTACAATTTCGTTTGCGCTGACAGACTCTCTCATGCTGCCACATCATCTCTACTAGAAGCGCTGCCAAAGCAAAACGAAAGCCCTGGAGGCCTCACAAAAGAGTCGCACTTCAGGAGAAAATCGGCTTCTTCATCCTCGGGGACCGCAGGAAGGCGCACGAACAACATTGAACCATCGTTCCTCTTCGAACAGGGGTGCTTCGCACGAGAGATGCGCGTTCGCGAGCCCAGGCAGAAAGTCGCAGTTGCTTTTTCTTTTTGTCAGAAGTTTTAGCAAATTTTACCGTTGAATACAGTCAAAGTTCGTTTCAGAAAATCCAAATTTGTAGTAACACCCATCACTCGGTATCTTTGTCAACGGTATTGCGGAGTTTGTTAAGCGACTACGCTGGTTGAGTCGTGGCATTTTTATTTTTTTCCCCGAGATTTAAAAGTGAACCTGAACGCCTAAGCAGAAAACATTACAAATAAAATTACACCTAATCATACAATAAGGTCGTAAAGCTACTTCGGGTTTGATCCAGAGGCAGACCTCCTCCGACAAGGACTCGATACTTATTGATTGAGATGAAGTTTAGGTTTGTTTCCCGTGACAGTTTCACCACACACTGCCGCGACCGTGTTGAGAAGTACTGCTTCACCACTACGCCTCGCCTCCCGGCGAGCTCGATCCTTGCAGACCCGCTGTGCTTTTCGGCGGCGTTCGATGTTCGGACTCTTCGGACGTAGAAACCTCCTCGACGCGGGGGGCGGAGAACTCATTTTCGATCGCTGCTACCAGCGCCAGCTTGCCGACGTCGTCGCCGGCTAGTCCCCGTGCCAAAGCGTACATCTGCTTTTTTAATTCCTGCATGGCGAGGCGCTGCATATTCACGGGCGGCTTTTTCGACGATGTTTTTCTCTTGCGCTTGCTCGGCGTGACGCTAGGGTTGTCCTCACGCTGGGCAGTAGTATTGGCAGCGGGGCGGGTTTTAGCTGCGTGGTCAGTGGTGTTGCCGTGCTGCAGTGGGCTTGCAGTCGTGTTCCCTCCGCCCAAGCTTGTGTTCACTCCAGTGGCCCAATTTTCACAGCGGCTTCGGCTGGGCGCGTCGCAGGCGGCGAACCCGTACTGGGATCCGGGGACGCCGAAATCGCACACCGTCCCTGCTGCGAACTTGATTGCCAGGCCGTACAGCAGGGTCGATAGGACAACACCGAGCAAGCCTCCGCAGAGGACGAGACAACAGTCTTTTCCGTTCCATCCTGTTCGCCCGACCGTTCTCCGGCAGGGAACTTCATCTAGGGAAGCGGGAGTAGTTCTCGTTGCGCTGCGCAGCTCGTACTTGTTGTCGTCGCGTGGTGGTTTCGCTGCGATCGCAGTTGTTTTTGAGTTGCTCGGCTTCGTCGTCGCGGCCTCGATCCATTCTCCCGCTTCCTTCTCCGTGCCGCCAGATGCGAGATTTTTCACACCCTGCTCCATCCTCTCGAGAGGGCCAAGCTTGGGTCGCTGGGCTTTCGGGACTTCCGCTGTGTTCGCCTTCAAATCTTTCGAGATCTCGCCCAAGTCCGCTTCCAAGCTGGATCGATGATGTACTCTCCGGTGCTTTTCTTCCCCCAGCTCCGCTGCTGCTTTTATCCGGCTGTCAACAAAAGCCCGAAGCTGTTCGTCGCACTTGTCTATCTCCTCCCGTGCGTACTTCTTCGTTTGGGACCCAAACTGCTCGAGGTCGGCTTTGGACGCGAACTTCTTTGCAAGATCTTCTGAGAAGGCAGCGTTTTTCTGGTCCATCTCCGACCGCAGTGTGGTAGAACTCTGCTCGTGTCGTTTGGAGATTTCTTCGAACTTTTTCGTGGTGTTGCTTTCGACCTCATCAACCTTCGCTTCAGTTGCTGTGTTTCTACTTTGGATGTCATCGCGAAGCTCGGCCGCTGCTTCGTCTATTTTTTTGTCCAGGGCCTTCAACTTTTCTTTGCAATAGCTCTTCACCGTGCCTTCCTCGTCAGAGGTCGACGAAGTTTTATTTTTCTTGCTTGTCTTCGTCGTGTCAGCTGCCGTTGGTGGCGGAGGCGCGGTGGAGGGGGCCTTCCCGCCGCTAGAAGTGGAGGACGACATCCTGTTGTTTCGCTGACTCGCAAGCACAAAATCAGGCTCAGGTGTCCCAGCCGACGGCCGCTCGGAGGTAGAAGACGAGAAAACTGTCAAGGAGCACACGTCGATGGCGCGTCATGTTGCTGATCTTTAAGAAACTGTAAGTTCCAATCATATTTGCTGCTAATTAGGTAGATGCGCGCTTCTTACTCGAGATGCTGTGGTTAGGAAAAAAAACACATCGTATGGAATTTTCATCAACTTGTGGTAGGTACTTGTAACGTTGGGCATTACTAGCACTAGCTGCAGAAGCAGAAAACGAAGTACTGTTCTGACGAAAAGATTTGAACCCGATCTGATTCAGACCATCGAAAAGCAGATATGCTTTATCGCTCACGATCACGAATCACGACAAAGAGGGTCTTGATAAATCTAGATCGCGGGGGCCGATTTCGAGATAAACGGCACACAAGGAAATGACTCTGAAAGCATTGGGACATCGAAGATCGACAAAAGTTGCAATACACGGCCCATCTTTATCTCACACGAAAATACACCTCATCGATGAACCTATCCTTGTTTAAGATCCACCCATGACAAACGTGTCAATCCAAGGACATCACCAAAGACTTCGATGCACGAATACCGCACGGGCCCTGCGAGTGGACGAAAAAGAACACACGTGTAACTACTAAGTATCAATCGTCATTGATAATATTGCTAGAAGACATTGGCAATCCTGTATAGAGAGGAGTTCTTTTGCGAAGAAACAACCACCTGTGCACGAGTGCATGAGAGCTCATCAACGCGGCGTGCCGTATTCTGCTAGCACAGCTACTGTGTCATTATAGTCATACTTCCGTCCATTTTTCGCGTTTTTCAAGTATTCAGATCGGGGGGCGTACAGCTCAAGGATTTTTGGTACAGAGAGTCAGTTTTTTTTTTTTTTCATTTCATTCAAGATCAAGCTTCGAACTCACAACGAGTTGGAGTCATTGTCAACATCGTCACCGTCGTCCGAAGGAGTAATCGTTGGTTGTTTGTCTGTATGCGTTGCAAATATATCTGGGTCTGGAAAAATAGAACTTGCATGTAATCCCACTGCTGCAATCCTGTAAAATCTGTATATGCATATCGGCTGTACAAAAAGACGCCTTCTTTTGTCATGCAGAAGCGTGGTTACAGATATGGACTGCGCATGCGAAGGTGTTCGGAAAACTTGTCATGCTTGGCTGCAGTGGGAAGTATTTCAATCATCCACAGATCAGCATCACAAGTTTTCAGACCCAGACAGATTATTTGCATTCGATAGCTGCTGCTCTGCTTGACCCTCCGCTTGGAGAGGATCACTTGGTACGGATATCAGATGGAGAAAATTTCGCTTTCCCCACTCACAAATCCGGTTCTTTTTCTGCGGGCGACGCGCAGAGTCTGAATCGCTAAAAGATTATGTCAAAGGAGAATAGGGCTAGCTCGCGCTGCTCTGTCCAAGTGGTGGTAGGACAAGCAACAGCAGGCTCAGCTAGATCTAGAACCTCAAACCTAAACTCGGCATTTGTGCATAGATCATGTTGACTGCAAAGCAAAAAACGGGCTACTTACGAGTCAAGGGGAAGACGAAATATTTCTCCAACGATAACTGATTGCGCAGCGTGGCTACTTCTTTTATGATTTCTCCGATTTCAGTGGTTGGTGCGTGCTTCTGGATATGTTCCAGTCGTAGCCGTGTCTTGACGACGGTAGGGTGTGTTGCCTAGTGTTTCATCATAATGAAATTTACCTTGTTTGGTCTTTGACCGCACTGAAGACCAATGTTCTCCATCGTGCTTACACTATCACTACTGCGCCCAAATTACCGGCTGGCGCCTTTACTGTCATCACACTTTTTCTAACGTTGTGAAGAGACATTCACATTGCTCTACTAGTACTACCACTATTCATTGCGTTCCTAATGAAAGTAAAAACTTCAGTACGTCCTCCTGCATCAGAAATTCCCGCATTTCCTCCCATCCCGGAATGACGTGCCCGGACCATAATCGCAAGACGGTCAACGAGTCCTTCACGCGTTGTTCCAATATGCATCTCAAACTGCTCACTTCTCATTTTTCGACCCAATTTAGTGTATCTATCAACAACGCTCGACGCGAGTCGTGAAGTGTCATTCAGACAGTTGCTCAGTGGATCTGCATAAGTACTATGCTCAGACGTTGTGAAGTGCAATGTACTATATCAAGCAAAAGTGGCAGTAAACAGGATAAGGAGCTGCTTGCGCGATCGTATCCACCTGCGAGAGCCTGTTCTCCCGTAATTCTCGGCTGAAGTTCATCTGCGTGTCGCTCCACTTTTGCAGAATAACCTGAGTGTTGATTTGGAGAATTGTTCGATGCGGAGCGAATTGTTTGCTTCTTTCATGCTTGTATTGGCTGCGCGTATACTTCTACCAAATGCAAGCAACATCCTTGTTCAGTGTGCGGGGTCTTCACAAACACATGTTACAAGCAATCGCAGCATCTTCCGACCACGATCACCCGCTCAAAATGTTTTGCCCACCTGCGCGTTTTTCTGGATCTCGGCTTTGGTAGTGTCGTTGACGTCGTTTAGTTGTTTCTGCACGTCAGCCACGAATTCCGTCCGCCAGTTCCATACCTCCATCGCGATTTTCATCGCCTGCTTCGCGACACTTGCATCTTGGTCGCCCTGACGGACGAGGTGGTGCAACTGGCTGCAGATTTTGCCGATGTCCTTCTGCGTGTCCTGCGTGTGGTGCAACTGCTTCACTTTTACCTGGTGTATCTCCCGCTATCAGATCCAAAAGTGCACCCATCTCAGCTATGATGGAAATACTACTCGCCCACCTGAGCAAGAGCAGGGCCCTTGATTACAAACCATCCAAGCACTCGCCATGCCGCTCGTTGCGAATCGAAAATATTAGTCTAATGTCATGCAGAAGTATAATTTCTAGCTCGATTTCTTGCATGTGGTTCGGGACGCATTCTAAATATGATAGCCCTCCCTGCTTGTCGATCGCGTCTTCCAGGGTCTGTAGCTCGTGTATGCAAGGACAATCGTCAAACAGATCATCCTCGAGGTGATTGTAGTAGAGTTTGTGACTACTTGAATTGCTATAGTAGATGAGTACATGCAATGACTACTCTTCACCCTTCTTCACTGTTTTCTCTAGAAAGCTTCAATAGAACTCGCGAGGACGTGACACCCTAGTACATAAAGAACAACATTTCATCGCCTCGAGCTCTTTCAGTAGATACGAATGCGATCTGTTTGGAAGCAAATATTCGGGATATTCGTGTTCAACGGGGCAGTGATGTTGTACGTCCTCTCGATGAAGTTCTCCCACATCTCAGCATCGGTTTGGATTCTCCCAAGTACGTTCTTGATCTCGTCTCCGCACTTTCCCAGCTCCGTGAAGAACTGCTCCCCGTCGACCTTCAGTTGCTCGCGTAGCTTCTCTTGCTAGCTTATGGAGTCAAAAACAGTTTGCCAGCAGACACGACAGAACGTTCTTGTTTTCGAGGTCGTTCTGGGGGTTTTGTACTAGCACTTACTTCAGGTTCAGGACAGCAGGAGCTAGAGTGTTGTTAATCTATGCAGCCAGGAGAATATATGCTTTTTTTGCCACTGGTGAAGATACATATATGCAAAAAAGAGTCGTGACCTCATATCGTGTGCGTCGTCCGATATCTGTGCTGGCACCATTTTCACTCAGATAAGTACCCTCCTTGAGCTCTCTGATCTGGTGGTCCACCTCCGTGAACCCGTCTTCCGTGCGTTTCTCCAGCGCAGTCTGCCTGCTGGTGATGCGCTGCTCGAACTCCTGGCGGTTGTGTTCGTTCTTGAGGGCCCGTTCGTTGGCAACGTTGGCCACCAGTTCTGTCGTCGCCAGGCGAAAGGTAGTTCGACTCTGCTCTATCTGGAGGTCGGATTGCTTTTGTCCCAGGTTTATCGTAAGAAGAAACTCCCCCTCCCCATACTCTCGAAAGGGAAATTTGCGTTGCTGATTTGCGTACACAATTTGTATTGCATGGAGGATGGAATCAATCAAGAGACAGCACTGTGCGGCATTTTCTAAAGCGGTTTCTGTAGTGATTGTCTAAGCAGCAGAAAAGGTGTTTGTGATGTCGAGCAGCTAGTTCGCACCTCCGTAAAGCAACTTGAGATACTACATGGCTCAGATGCAGCGCTACAATATTTTTTGTGTACGCAAATCATGCGTAGGTACACAAACCAATCTCTGGTGGAGTAAAGGTAGGGGGGATTGTTCATCTCGATAAAGTCCTGCTGCTTGTCACGCGACTGCTGTCGGTACTTCCGTTCTTGTTCTTGAATTTCGGCCTCGATGCCTGCGAGTACCTTCTTCTCGTTTATTGTGCGGAAAAGAGTAATATCAGTATCTTTACCTTACGAAGGAAATGTTTTTATAAAAGTGATCGGAATTCGGATTGCAGATATCGGCACGACAAGTTTCATGGCATCACAGAAATCTGCACGACAAAATCTGCCTCGCACAAGATCATGAAGTCGTGTCCAGGAGGCTCGGTTGTTAGGCTATGCATGGAACGCAAGACAAAGTAGAGGCATCTTTTCGCTTTGGTAACTTCTATCTCTGCCGCTCTTCTCTGGTCTTCCAATTGCAGCTTTTGACGCTCCAGGTCCCGTATTTGCTCGTCGAATTCCTTGTACTTGGTCTCGTAGAATATTCTCGTCTGGTTTTGTTTGCATTTTGCAGTTTCTCATGCGGGTTGTAAAATCACAGCTATAGGGGTGTGGAAGTTCTTCTGGATTAATGAAACGCATTCTTCAAAGAAAGACGAAAATCTAATCATGCGCAATGTCTAAGTGTTTTAAGTGTTACATTAACTGATGTACCGACGCGTGTCGTTTTTGCAGCTCCGTAATAGGTGTTGAGGCTTGTGCGACAGCAGCTCCCACCAGCGCGTGCTGCTGAGCGGCAAACGATCGCCGCACAGAGTCGGGCGTCGGCACTGTGGACAACGCGCCGCCGGGAGGTGGCGATTCCCGCAAATTTTGGTTCTCGTTCACGAGATCGGATGTCAGGAGGGGTAATCTTGATGGGAGCATGTCTACTGGCGGCTGCGGTTGCTCTTGTGGGCTTGATGCTGCCGGGGACGGCGAGGGAGAACTACTCAAAGTAAACGATGCGGCATCTCCATCGTTGGGCTGATGCTGCGTTGCGTTCCGCCCAGGCGGGGAGCCTGAAGCCACTACAGGTGGAATGGCATCTTCGGGGGAACTGAGGGTCACTTCATTTTCTTTACGTGACGACGTCATTTTCACGATACTTGCCGCAAGCGGCTGTCAACGAAAGAAAAAATCAAGCGTACGACTCCTATGTGTATGAAGCACTTGTTATATATAGAGAGTGCTGCTGTGACGTTCAACTTGCAAACCGTTTTTCGCGACGATGGAGCACTGTGTTTGCGACTGCTCTACCAGGAACGCAACAAGTGGGAGGAACCATTGAGGAAAGACGAACCCTATCGCTATCGAATGAAAAAAAGCAAGCCAAGCGATCGCACTGCTTCACGAGGCTCTCTGTTTCACACTACGTAGCTCTTTTTCGAACCAAGGCGGTCATCGTCTTGCATCAGAAGAAATTCGTCTGACGCAGGTAGGTGCCCTGTTGTTCTTTAGCACTGCTACGTCGATGCTGCGGGACGCTCCACGTTTTCGAGAACTACAGCGCTATTGATTTTCACGAAAAACGGAAAAGCTAAGGCCTCGAGGGCTTCATCTTTACACCAGGCATACACGACAACTTGATGAACCCTTGCTGTGGGACGCATTGAAGTCTGTTTCTCCCTCGTCTGTATTTACTTTTCGAGACATTCCCGGGTAAGCCTTGATGTATGTGAGCTGTGTTGACCGCGCGCACTGACTGCTTCACAGGCACGCGCGTCTCTCTTGGTGTCGACCTGTCTTGGTGTCGGCCTGTAAAGACTCGCCTCACCTTCTGGGCCATTGAAACAGGCACAGCGGGCACCCGCGCAGCCCTGCCGGAACGCATTTTCTGGGGCCTTTTGGCGCAACCGCTCCGGGAGGGGTGCAACGCCTCGCAGCCCGCTCCGGGAGAGTATATGTCAAACGTTCCGGGGAAGGTGCTTGCTCTCGCTGCTTCCCGCTATCTTCTGCTGGTACGCATTTTCTCCAAGGTTTTTGCGTAGTCCGCTCCTTGTAAATATTGCAGCTTCCGGGGAAATTGCTGGCAAATACTGCCTCTGCATGCTGCAAGTGGTACGCATTATCCTGGTTTTTTCTCCGCAGTCCGCCCCGGGAGAGAAAGAAGTCTTCTGGGGAAGTTGCTTGCTCTGACGGCTTCCGGCTATCTTCTGCTGGTGCGCATTTTCTCCAAGGTTTTTGCGTATTCCGCTCCTGGTAAAAGTTGCAGCCGCCGGAGAAATTGCGCGTAGCTACTGCTTCTGCATGTTGCAAGCGGTACGCATTATCTTGGGTTTTTTATCGCAGTCCGCTCCTGGAGGGAAAGAAATCTTCTGGGCTGGTTACTTGCTGTGACTGCTTCCCGCTATCTTCTTCTGGTACGCATTTTCTCCAAGGTTTTTGCGTATTCCGCTCCTGGTAAATACTGCAGCTTCCGGGGAAGGATTAGCGGTTCGTGCGGATTAAAAGAGTGTCTATAATGGCGTCTGACCTCGACGACAAGGATGGCTGTGTGAGCAGTCACGGTTCGATGGTAAAGGAGTCGGCGAGGGGTGGGTACGACTAGACAAGGAATACGTAGAACCGCCTGCCTTCGCAGTAGAGTTGTTGTTCTACACCTGGGATAATTCTACTGCGGTGTTCGGCTCATCTTCAAGCTGTAAGTAAACTTGAAACGCGGTTCAGCTCTTACACCGAATTCAAGGGATTTTCATCTTCTTTGTCGTCTGAGGGTGTGATGGTAGTCTGCTTGCTCAGGTGCTCCCTGGCCCGTTTCACCGCTTCCTCTTGCGCCGTCAGCAGAATTTGATACTGGCCGCGGAGGGGGAGCAAGTCGCTTATAATGTCGGCCACATTTTTCTGGTGCCCGTTTTTCTTTGCGACGAAGTTGTGGGCCCGTTCCAACACCAGGCGGACCTTCACGACGTCGGGGTGGGCGTCGTGATTGCATCGAGGTTGTATTTTTGTCGATTTTCGAAACGATGGAAGCGACCTTTCCAACTTTCGGTCGAACGGACCTACCTACCACGTCGATAAATGCTGTACGGATGGAAAAGTGGATCCGAAAAAGAAGAAGTACTTATGCAGTACTCGAGTGGCCTTTGGCTTTGCTTCGTTGATCATGATGTTCATCAGGCCTGTGTTTTTCACGATACTTCCACTAGCGAGGATCTTCTATGTACGATCGAGATAAAGACGAAAACCAAGCGAGCGAATCGTTTCATAGTCTGACGTGGAAACTCCTCCACGTCCAACAAGCTCCGTTCGATCACGATCGCAAAATGAGTCTATATCTACTTTGACCAAAAAATAAACGGAAGACAACCACGCCGGCACGATGGATTTTCCCTTCCATCCCCCTTCCAACTCCCTTCCATGGATCTTTTGCTTGGTCAGCAAAAATGTCTGCATTTGGAAGACCTAAGCGGGACCTAAGCGGGAGCTACACTAAGACAACCACGGCGGCACGATGGATTTTCCCT